ACCATTCTCGCAGTCCAAACGACAAAATGAAACAAAGTAATCTTCTGCTCGTACCCTTCGGTATACTTGAGCGCTCGGCATCGAGTGCTCGCTAGCTGCCGCCTGAGCGGAAAATATAGCAAAATCGGCGCCGCACTCAACGTGTTAAATCTCTAAGCAAATTGTTTATATCGGCTATATCGGCATTTGTACCATACATAACCTATATTCTCTCTCTCTTTAACAAACCGATATATTTTTCATATTTTCTTTACACGCTAATGGGTTCTACTACCCGTAAATTATGATTAAATAAATAAATAAATAAATTTGTTCACAATCGCGTTAAATTTTGTAACCTAGCATTTCGACTTTCTCTGTAATCGTCGCAATGGATGTCAAGTGCAATGACGAACGGGTGTTTGGATAAGGTCTGGAGAACACGGATTGCGCAATAAGAATTGCGCGTTTGCTCGTGAAGATAATCAGATATCACGCAAAACTCGTTGTGACCAGTAAAGAAGGATCGGACAATCATTCGCACGAATTGTTTCCAAGCATCTCGAATCAATCAGCGAAATACGCCGCGCGTATGACGGGCTGGCAGTACGCGGTAGAACGTATAATACGATCGGCAGCAACGCGAAATCAAAGCCGATGAATCGGCAATTGAAGGTACGTGTCAACGGGCAGTTGGACGCGCGGCACAGTGGCAGATTAAAGTTTCGATTCGATATGAAACGACACATGGAAACGGCGTTGGCCGCGCGACAATGGCCTTTAAATATTTCAACGCGATAACAATGACGCGAAGCGCATTATGTCGAGATTTTCATCAACGACGCGATATTTTCGTTCCAAAGTAGCAAACAAAGCCATTGTATGCACGTGCAAATAACTGTTACGTAAATTGTGTACCGCTTTTTACGAGGAATCGCGGATGTCGAGTAACGCGAAGATAAGCCTCGATATTTTTACCTCCTTTTCCCTTCTTCCCCCTTTATTTCGTTCCGTTATTTACTCGAAACGCAGCAGATGCTTAACGGAATAGAAAGAAGTTCGTTCATCCACGACTGACACCTCGGGCCGGTTCGTGTCCCGGAAACAAACAAATTAATTCCATCCAAATTAAACGTACTGTTTCGAGGAACCGTCGATCTCACGATCGATCGCGAACAGATTACGCGAGTGGACGATAAATCGCATCCAATCATCGATCTGCCTTATCCCGTACCCGTACCCCGTATTTCGCGGTGAAAAATATCGCGAGACCCAAAACTCGGTGAACACTAAAACCATCAGGCCCAGTCAGAATGACTGGTCCCAGAATTTTCCTTTTTGCAATCATCGAACACAAACACCTGCTTTAAATCTCTATAGACCGAATATATATTTTCCTTGACTACAAGAATTGTATGTAACTTAAAATCAATAAATATCAGCCAATAAGTTCAGCAGTTTTGATAATTTTATTATAACGAATTCCGATTGAAAGTTTGAATTAACAACGTTTGTACTATTGTGTCCAGATAATGTGCAACAGATAGACAAGATAATTTTCCACGCCATCTTGTGGAAAAAAGGTCATAGGGGGCCATAGAGGACCTAACCTATCATGATTGAATAACCGGTAAATGAAAAAGAATTAGAATTTTTAAAAATGGACCCACGGGAGGTATTGCAAAAAATAATTATAAATATATCGAAAGAAAAATCGCGAACTGGAGTGATGAAGACGATAACGTTGAATGCAATATTTAATAAAAAACTCATACATTAGAAAGTTCATTAGAAGTTACACGGGCCCATAGAGGGTTAAGAATAAAATTGGTATCAACTCATACTGAGAAAGAACTGTAATCAATATATTCGCTCATATTCATCGTATCGCTAAAATTAACTATAATCTGTGCGCGTTATAGTTAGGTGCCCACTAAGATCGGTAGTTCTAGTGTTATATATATAAATATAATTATACATATATAAAAGGAACCAAACGTACAAAAGGGTTACAATCAATATGTTTACTCATATTCATCGTACCGCCGAAATTACTATAATCTGTGCACGTATAGTTAGGTACCCATTAGCCACTTGCGATTTAAAGACGTGCCACGCACGTCGAGATGCTTCTGTTACCGGAACACCAGCGACGTGTTACACACGTTGTCAGGCGATTGTTGCAGAAAGAAAAATAACGTAAGAATTGTATGTAACTTAAAATCAATAAATATCAGCCAATAAGTTCAGCAGTTTTGATAATTTTATTATAACGAATTCCGATTGAAAGTTTGAATTAACAACGTTTGTACTATTGTGTCCAGATAATGTGCAATAGATAGACAAAATTTTTCACGCCATCTTGTGGGGAAAAAGTCATAGGGGGCCATAGAGGACCTAACCTATCATGATTGAATAACCGGTAAATGAAAAAGAATTAGAATTTTTAAAAATAGACCCACGGGAGGTATTGCAAAAAATAATTATAAATATATCGAAAGAAAAATCGCGAACTGGAGTGATGAAGACGATAACGTTGAATGCAATATTTAATAAAATACTCATACATTAGTATGTAACTTGGAAGTTACACGGGCCCATAGAGGGTTAAGAATAAAATTGGTATCAACTCATACTGAGAAAGAACTGTAATCAATATATTCACTCATATTCATCGTATCGCTAAAATTAACTATAATCTGTGCGCGTTATAGTTAGATGCCTACTAAGATCGGTAGTTCTAGTGTTATATATATAAATATAATTATACATATATAAAAGGAACCAAACGTACAAAAGGGTTACAATCAATATGTTTACTCATATTCATCGTACCGCCGAAATTACTATAATCTGTGCACGTATAGTTAGGTACCCATTAGCCACTTGCGATTTAAAGACGTGCCACGCACGTCGAGATGCTTCTGTTACCGGAACACCAGCGACGTGTTACACACGTTGTCAGGCGATTGTTGCAGAAAGAAAAATAACGTGCATGGCACGTCAACTGTTAATAAAATTCTTTACCGAGGCACAGTTTCTGCTTGCACTTCATCATCATTTGATGGCGTCTTTATATTCTCTTCTGGAACCCCTCGAACGCTGCCTGAAGTGATTTGCATTCAACTGTTCTGACACGCGCAACTTTGAATTTCTTTGCACCGCAAGTGGTTAAAGATCGGTAGTTCTAAGTGTTAAAAGCTCATCGAGCTTTCCTCTCGATGCTAATCAAAGGACGTAGCGATTTCTCCTTTCCCCTCTTTTCCTTCCGACTCTCATCGTGCGTACTCGTCCCCGAATGAACTTGCGGGGGCCCCCACGGAGTTATCGATGATTTCTTGTGGTCCCAAAAACTACGATTACTAGGCGATTGGTATCCCCTTGTGGTCGTTGTGCTATGATATGTAGCAGATAGAACATAAGGAAGAGGATGGCATTTCGTCCTGGGCCTACTAATGGACTTCGTCAGTAAAGCTTCTCTATAAGGCCAATTAGAAATTCTCGACCGTTGTCGATAAGGCCCACGAATCTACTTCCTCTCTATAAGGCCCCGTCTTAGATCAGATACACTTAGCATAGGAACTTCTATTTATACGAGATCGAGAGTCCACCAAGCACTCGCGAGAAAGTCCTCGAACCTCCTTCGAGTAGGAAGCCATCTATCGGCGAGAGCGTGAACGTTGGTCGCTACAAACTCGTACGAGTGTTCTCCACTGTGAAATATGCACCGATGGAATGAGGGAGGAGGAAAGCTAGCCCGGTCCACGTTGCCCGCGTGGAAACATTATCGATGAGATCTCCGCGCGAGAAATTCGGAGTTATCTCTACGCATCCAGCGGGGAAAAATCGCGCTGGCGTGTACTTCCCAGGAGAAAGGAGTTGTCTCTTAAATATACGAGCCGGGAGAGATACTGCACCGTTGTATGGGGTGAAATATGGGCAAAGTTGATGGCACGGAAAGGGAAACGAAAGTGAAGGAACACAAAGAAGAAAGGCGGGCACTGTCTAGAGGAAACGGAGCGGAAAAGGAAAAGAAAGGAAAAGGAAGGGAAGGAGATCGGTTATGAGAGGTAATTTAATAGTTGGCTACATCGATAGGGGCCACGATATCGAATCGTTAAAATTTATCGGCGAGGAGCTGCATGGTTGATCAGGCAAGTTCAACCTGGCGAGAGATCGCGATGAATCTTTTACTCGGTCGCGTAGCCACTGTGCGTTTCAATATGCGCGTCGAAATATCGCAGACCGTTTGGAAAAATCACATCCCGGTTATACGAGGAACAGTCACCTCTGCGAGCGTGTACATGAAAATGCACGAAGCTAGAAGCTTTCTCGCTCACGCGGATGAATGTCGCTCGTGATCGCGGAACGCCACAACCACCGAGAAGGATACGAAGATTCCCCCGGTGGAAAATGTGGAAAATATCGGGAATATCTCTCGGGCTTTTCCCTTTTTGACCGGTCGGTTTACCTTCCGGGGATTTAAACTTCGGAATTTTCGCAGTCCCGCATTTTTTGACTCTCGAATGCTTAAACCTCGCAGCTCCTCCATTGTTGATTCGTATTGGAATGTCGTTGACTCTGATACACGAGTCGGGAATCGAGTTGAAATTAAGTTAAAGATGCTCGTATTGAAATAAACGGAATTTTTTCCTTGTCAGGGCGAACCGCTTGGTCACTCTAAAGTCAGTCTCTCGCAGAGTCCTTCGAACTCTTTCATCTTGGCAAACTCGGATCTAATTAAAAGTTTCCTTCGCAGTTTTTCAGCACTCGGCAACTTGAAACGATTCACCGATGCGCGAGGTAAACGTGTAAGAGTAAATATCCGTGAAAAATGATTTACGCCGGGTCGTTCCGGGGCCTCCATTAAATATCAAACCTGTAAGTTATCGCAACATCCCGTAGCCTCGGCTCGCCAGAGGCTTACGTAACGTTTACGTATTTCGCATAGTAATTCACCGGGTATCCCGTTGCCATTCATACTGGCGAGCGAGTGGCAGAACAACATTTCAATAACTCACCTCCGCCGAATGCCTGCTGCTCCTTGTCCTCGGATGGAGAACCTTCTAAGCTCACGGGACCACTATCGGCTCCGCTAGTTGCGCTGCAAACACGACGTGAAAAACGTGTGAATAAATTATGAACGGGTCGCATTTTGTCGTGCAATTTACAGTATGACTTTCGAAAAGCATCTACATAAAACGTACAACGAATAGCAGGTGTATGCCCATAACCCTTCTGATACTACAAGACACCACCCTTACTTTCAATTATAATTGTCTAACCTTATCGAACGAATCGCTCTAATAACAATAAAAATATCCTCTAACCTATTAAACTATTTACCCTTTGAAGCTAGTAAATCCTTATAATTAACATATATCGAGTTCGATCATTGCTCGAGGGATCCTAAAAGCTTAACCCTTTGCACTCGAGAGACGACCCTCAGTTGCCATTTAATCAGATTCTAAAGATCCTTGTTAATTAATGTATCAAATTAAAAATTATTCAAGGTGCGTGGAATGTCGAAGTAAAATAATTCCACGTCTTAATTTGCATACGATCCCTTATTTACCGTTTTAAAAGTATCTTTATGACAGAAAGTCTTCGAATGACTATTTTTCTGTAACAAAATATCGCCTAGTGCAAAGGGTTAACACATTGCACGTCGCTCACGGACATCGTCTCTCTTTCGTCCGATACAATTTTCTCATACGTTAAGAGTTTAGTACATACTCTTCACACATCCTACGCGCTATTTCGTGAACTGCTCTTCGAAACACTCATTCCTCTTGGCACCTAGAAGCTAATCGACGCACAATGAGTAACAGTAGCAAGGTGATGGAAACTACTTTCTACGTAGAGGGCATGCATAAAAGCTTCGAGGATTCCTTACCTGCTGGCATCGTCGTCTTTCGTCTGTTCGACGGTGCCCTCGGTGCTCGGCGCCACTTGGGCCTGGGCCTGGGCCTGGGCCCCGTTCACGGTCTTAGCAGCCTGTGCTTCACCCTCGGCAGGCTGCGTCATGCCACGACTCAGGATTCCTCCGCTGAACCAGCCGGTCATCTGGGATTTTACGCCAACCAGCATATCCAATTTGCTGCTACCTTTGGTCGGGCTAGAACACACAGCGAACCATTTTTCATTTCTCTCCCTGCATGTCTATCCTCGAAGATCCAAGATCTCGTTTAAAGCCATTTTTGACGATTTCTGTCACACAGGAAACATCCGGAAAAGGGAAGAAGAATACGAGAACATTGGAGATACAGTCGCGGTGCGATCATACACGGAAAAGAAGGTAAGGAGAGCAGAAGATCGTTGCGGACAAATGTTTTTTCACTCTCGCGAGAGTTTATACAGCGGGTAATTACACGAGCGAGTCCTCGCGTTTTCCTCTCTCGCTCTGCTCTTTTTATCAGCCAACGTGGCGAGGTTTGAACCGCGAGTGGTGTGATAACTCGAGTGGAAAAGTTGCAGGGATACGACGTCTGGCGTTACTAAGAGACGTTAACACCGTTTAGCCGGGACCTCTCTAATTACCGTGTTCGGCGATCACAGGTGAGAACATGGCCAACTCGACATGGCCGAACCTACAGATCGGGGAACCCGGTACCATTCGTTTCCACTGTTTACTCGGCCTAGTCGGGACACTTCCTCGTCGCGATTGGTTACCTAACGTTCGTGGGAAACGGACCAACATGGGAGAGCGTACTTCAAAGTGTCTCTCCGATTCCTGCCTATTCGCTGTAAATATGTTTCGAGGAAAAACAGGTCAACCTGACCGAGCGAGGCAACAACGAAACATCGTTGCCAACTATAACTCGTTTAAAAGTACCATGGCTTCTGTAACCGATTTATCTGCGCTATAACTGTGGCCAATCGAACGAAATTTCATTTCGCTTTTCCTGCCTCTCGGAAAAAAAAGAAAGAGAGAGAGAGAGAGAGAGAGAGAGAGAGAGATGGAATAATAAAAATTTCGAGGACAAAGTTTTCTGGCTTAATTAAAGCCGACGAGCTTTTATCGAAGGTAACGATATCGATTTCTCGAACATTTGTCTTCCGCGATCGACATAGTTGGTATACATTTTTTGCTCTTATTTTTATATATGTATTTGTTAAAGGGAAATTATTAATGTTCCCCCGCACCAAGCGTATCGATATCGCGATAACGAGCAACGGTGCTTCGTTAATAACCGGTATTAGATTCCCGTCGAACCGGTACGAGTAATTTGAATTACCCGCCATGATACACGCGCCGCGACGTTCGTAGGTGTAACTCGCGATAACGCCGAAATAACGAATACGTAATCGTAACTAACGTTTCACGATCGACGAAAAATTGGAGACTCCACGATTTCTCTGCGTTCAACCGATCATTTAATCGCTGGACAAGTTAAGAAATTAAAACAAAAAAAAAAAAAAAAAGAAAGGAAAGAGAAAAGGAAAAAAGATTGAAGAATTAAAAAGTTAAAAAAGCAAGGAAAAAAGGAAATAGAAATAAGTATGAAAAGAGTGGAAGAAAGAAAAAATCGCGAACTCTCAATCGTGGAAAAAATTGAAAAATTTACGATTTCTCTCGTCCGAGAGGTTGAACACTCAAAGAGAAGAAAAAATAGAAAAGGAGGAGAAAAAGGAAAAAAATGAAAAAAGAGGGGGAGAAAAGAGGAAATAAAAATAGGTATGAAAAGGGTGGGAGGAAGAAAAAATTGCGCGCTCTCATTACCATTATACGAAATTTAACAGTTTCGTGGGAGGGTGACTGCGGTGGTATCGATTGCGACCTATATAAAAGATTACGACCGCCCCCCCTCCCCGCCCTTTTATGGAAACATCGCTGTTTCTTCGTACACGAATGGAGCTCGCTCGAATCCTCGACTACTCCATCGTTCAATCACGTACGGATAGTACATACAGCGCTGCACGACGTCTTCTTAAAAAACATTGCCTCGGCCGTCTAACGGGAAAACAATTTCCCCTTCCCGGGGTGGAATTTCCGCGACGAAGATTCTTTTACATCGCCTGACGAAACTGACGTTCATTCGGCGCACGCCGGAATGTTTATCCCGACAACGGCCGAAGATAACCGGAATAGAATCAGCCGAGCAATTGACCTGAGAATTACTAAATTATGCGCCACCTTCACCGTAGATCGACGTACTCCAGGGAAATTGTTTCGGTTACACGACTACGACGTTTCATCCTATTTCGTTTTTCCCCCCTTTCCCTTCTCCTTTTCCTTTTTCTCGTTTTTTTCTTTTTTTTTTCTGCTTTTTTTATTTTTTGTCTTTTGTAGCAGATGAGGCGCGCGCTCGAATTAAAAAGCAGCTCGATAACGTATCTGGCTCGAAGAGCAGCGGGTCTGCCGACGTTGTGCTTTTTTGCGTCGTATAAATACGTATAAATAAAAATACTCGGACGCGGTCGAATAAAGAGAATTAAATTAACGAGTGAAACCGTGACTCTTTGGGAAAGAGAGGAAAAAAAGGAAAAAGGTAAAAAGGTCTCTCGACTCTCGTAACGCGCAAGAGGTTGTACGAGCCGGCGCAAAGGTGAAAAACAAAAATCGAATTCTCCGCGTAGAGAGAAGAAAGGGGACTGACTTCCCATTGTGAGTCACTCGGCCAACGCGAACGAAACCATTTCGCCTTGTTCAGAATATTCCTTTATACGTGGTAAGAAATCGCGATACACTTCGTGCAAACACGTTTAATAACGATATAGGTTATGTAAGAGAGAAAAAGAGTCGAAAAAACAATGTATAAATTATGTCAATTAAAAATCGGGTTTTAGGTTAGCTGAGGAGATCGGTTTAATGGCGGACTGATTTTGGGCGCAATAAGCATCGACGGAGAGTCAACGCACATCTGAGAACCTGTCACGAAATTTGTGACAGCGGGTGTATCGCGATGGCGTTCCATGGCCCGAATCCTATTTCCGAAATCCATTTCTCGTGACGTAACTTTTCGGCAATGGGCGTATAAACGTCCTGTTTCGTGCACAAAGTTGCCCGATAACGCCTATTCAAACCGGCGAACATCTTGGATCCCATGAACGGAAAATATGAAATATCTAGGTAGCAACGTTGGAAATTCACGGAAGCGAGAGAGGCGTGATGCAATATTTAAACGCTTGTAACGTTTAATACCGTGGTTCGTAGAATGGAAATGTTATACGAATATGCTGCACCTGTACTTTCGAAGAAAAGTTTCTCCGAATTATGGAATTAATCAAGGAACGGGGATTCTCGTTTTCTCGTAGTTCGAAAGAAAATAAGAGAAATATTTTTGGGCGACATGCATCGTACGAAATTAAATTTTCAATTGCGATAACATAAAATTATACAATTTCACCTATCGAAATAATAATGCCCAGAAATTTATCGTCAATATTATTTAGTTACTCAGAGCAATTTTGTAAGAATAGAGATAAAGTTTTATCTACAAATCCACCAATTATCGATAATACGAAGTATGGCGAAAAAGGTTAAGTACAAAAGTACTCCGAGTGTATGTTAACCTCATTTCGATTCACGAAACGTCGTAACGCCGTCGCGTAAGTAGTTTACATAAGCATAGGAACGAATGTTATCGATCTAATCTCAAAACTGCATTCAAGATCGAATCTAAAACTTTTAACGCGTCGCACAGATGCGCAGAAAGAGTGTGTGTGCATTTGACGTTCAATCGTGACTTATGAGACTTCTGTCGAAAACGGATGACAAGTATGGAATTTTGCAACGCAATACGCATTTCTGTGACGCGAACGAGAAGGATACGGGTATTATCGATAGATTAGCTTCTTTTGCGAAATGCAGAGTTATCGTGGGTAAAGTTCATGCTAAAGGAGTTACGACGTTCGATAATAAAACAATAGTATAGGTTAATAATGATACCTATCTTTCCTATCTACGTCTTCTCCTTCGGTAGTTGCGGCAATCTTTTCATCAGCCGGCAGTTCCGTGCCGGCGTCTTCCGCCTTCTTCCCCATCCATGTAGACACCTGATTCGTTAAACCGGTGAACATTTTCAATTACAATGCAGCAGTTGCTTCACTCTCGAATATGTACGTGATATTTCAATCTCCTCCTTACTATCCGCTACGCTAACACCAACGCTTCTGAAACCCTTACGGGACCGAATGACGGTAGAAACTTGTCCGTTTCAATGGTCGCGCAACCACGAACTGCGCGTATTATACGTGTGGCAGCGCATTTCATACTGCGCATCATGGTTCGTTTGACTACAACGCCACTACTCCCGAACGGAAGTGAATTGAAGCAACGCCGCATCGATTTTCGCGGTACATAGCATCGAATATAACGTATACGATCTAAGTTATAATTTATACATTGCCATATGGACATTTTATTCAACTCGAAAGATTCCTAGACATTTTAGGGATACCAACTAAGTATAGATGGAATATAACTTTTGGCGCCATATTTTAAATCGAAAGTGCAACTAACGACGTATTTCGTAAAAACAAAGGAATTATAATATATTTTCTCAAAAAAAAAAAAAAAAAAAACTGGACACAATAAAAATGACATTGAGAGTGTTTTTAAAAAAATATATTATTTTATTATACCTATACAAGGCAGTTACAACATTATCGAACTTGATATACAATTTGTACATTTCCTACTTCTTTGGGTGATTCAGCATCAGTGTTGCGAATCGTTAAAACCAGTAAATTGTACATTGTTGCTTAGAGGTAGATATGTACGCAAACAAAGTTACCTAAATCTATTATATTACTACAGAGTGCTGTGCTATCGCTTGGTATTTTAATTTAGAATACATATCATGCATTCAAATGTTGTACTACACTTTGAAATTATATTCTATGTATTCTGTTGATATATTTGTACTTAGTTTTGGATTTAGAATTTATGCATTATTAATGGAATAAAGATTCGAACAGCACCTTACGTTCGATATCACAGCTTAACACGAACCTCTCCTATTACTTTTAGGAATTTTATATTACTGGTGTGCCCTTTCAGAGTTTTTTAAATTTTAACATATCGGTGTTTTCTACTTTCTGCGTGTTAACGGCTTGAATTTTTTATATTGCGAGTTTTCCGATTAATGGTAGCGTTTGAACTTTCTTTTATATCAATATTCGTATTTTGCAACTGTTTGTCTTTGGTATTTCATGATTGCCTATGTCGATGCATTTGTACTATATACGTATAACGTGCAGTTGCTTCAATTAAAGTATTTACAATTATACTATGAAAAATTTATAATTATTGAAAGTTCATGCATAATGCTGATTATGAACTTGTGTCCTTTCCTTAACCATGTGCTTGCATTACTTTTGTTCGAATTTGCGTAACGATTTGATACATTCCGCAAGTTATTAAAGTGTGCCTAATATTCTAAATATATACATTTAAGTATTTGTGTCCTTAGGAATGTATATCATTTACATATAATCGCTATTTTTCTTTTACTGGAGCTGCTTCATTTAGGGATGCTTGTTCCTTTTGATACCTAAAAAAAGACATAATTTTATAAGACACAAAATACAAATGAAACACAGTTAAAATAAAAAGATAAAATGTTCTCGCTTGTTTTTATACGAGGTTAATAAGTAATAATAATATACAGTTAAAAAATTTGTATCAAATGTAAATACATATGTAATAAAATAACTTACATTATTCCCCGACTAACTTGATATAAGGCGGTTATCGCGACAAAGAGGTTTACGCTAAACAGACTCCAGTTTTTCGGAGTGATTGCTAAAGAATACCTGGTCCAGATCAAGCCGGTAATGCCCAAGGCAGATGATTGGCTAATGGAGATTTGATTTGCTGGCCTCTGCAGATCACCGAGGCCAGCTATTACAAGTCCCTGTAATTTGCAAATTTCGATTTAACGTCGTTAAGGTATATGCTACAAAGAACGAATAGGGGAGAAGCAAGAAAAATGGCAAGCACTTCGTCATAAAAGTGACGCTTAATGTAGAGGGGTCAACGATGCAGATCGCATTCAGATAGTTTACATTCAATGGTTGACCTGATTCAGCTAGATTGATCGCAATATATTATAAGATCTACATGCGTGTGATTCCGTCCTAAGGAAATTTTTATTTTTGAAATTTACAATTTTTTTAGATTACGATCACGTGCGATAATTTTGTTTCCTTGTTCTTTAGCATAATGTTGAAAAAGTGGTATCAGTGATAAACTATCGATTTTATTGTGCAAGTATAGAACCACTAGGGAATTATTAAAGGTGATCATCACTAACGATATCCGTCTTTCGCAATAGACGTTACCGTGAGCATGAATGTCGTATTTGGATTGAGTCCATGTGAAAGCAAAGTCCAGAAATATTTATATAACATATAACGAATAGCAAACAATGCACAATGCGTGTATAGATTGTTTCGCGTTAAAATTGATTAGTTACATTATTTGATTTATACGTATCTAGTAACTAAATTCTTGAAGTACAATTGACATCTTTTGTCTTTTGAAACGATGTCGTTGTTGGAAAACGTATACTGAACAAAAGCATTCAACATGTTAAAACTTCAAAGATATTACTGACCCATTTAAAAGCTGGTGCCCAGAAGAATATAGTCTGCGGACCTGAAAGGGGAAAATAGGTCGATACTGCTATTACGCATTTCTTTTAATAGTTACGGTATGTATTACTAATGTAAAATCCAAAAAGATGTGAAATAAAAATGATTCGTGATACAGCGATAAGGATTGTGTCGTGTCTCCGAATTCACGTGAATCGTATTTCGTAATGTACGCATGTTACTTAATCACGTTCGAGCAAGTTTCAAATTCCAATTACAAAAAATTGTACTTGCGACAAACTAGCTATTTAGTGAATATCAATGCATTATCGCTAACTCCTTGAACTTGTTGGCATTGCAAAAATTTACGAGAAAATGTGATGGAAAAGCACATAAAAATAACAGAGTTAATATATAGGACAGTGTGACGCGCAGTGACATTGATTTACATGTGCACACACGTCAACGACGGTCAAATCTATTCAGGTTCATAGTAGTATAGTACAGAAAGCAGCAAAAGTAAAAGGTAAGAAATGCCTGAAGTTCGTAAGACGTTACGACAGCATAGTTTTTGTTCGTTCGGCCGAATGCGTGCTGCACAGTGACACGAGCGCATATGTTGTACGCACGTGTTACTATTTGAGAAATCTGGATACTCATCGATAATATACTAACCAGCTGGGTGATTCCACAGTGGCTGGAACTTCTCAGGCACAAACTTGCTAATCGCGTTCATTGTACTTTTGTAAACGACCGACATTGTGTTTCACGCGTTCACACGCTAATAATCGTTGAAAATAGAAGGAAAATTAAAGAACTAATTAATTAATGATCTGCTATCTAATGAATGAACATGGAAATGACAAGCAGCAAGACGATCCGCACACTAAGACTGAATATCACGAAGTGCAACGATTGGTAGTCGCGCTAGCGGTATGGGTAGTCTGTACTTTCCTTTCCCCGCACAAATTTCCGGGACCTAAAGCGCTACGGTATGCGTTGTGTGTCGTTACGTTCGCATACCATTGTAGATTATTTAGGATGTTAAACGTATAGACGTTTTGATCGATTAATGATGACGGATAATAGCGATGTGATAATTACTGCATGATTATTGGCGCGTGGAAGTACCCTTCAAGAATTATCGGATAAAATCGATACTCAAAAATAAGAACATCATAAAAATTCGTGTTTAACCGTTTTTGATTACACATGTATCATAATAAAAGTCTGTATAATATTTATATTATTCTTTAAAATCGTACAAAATTATCTATTTTATCATTAAATTAAATTCCTTATATACTTATATTTACCGAATCATTTTAATAAAATTATCGCGATTAAAATTTATTTATCTACAGATAAGATTGCAGTATGCACAAGTATATCGTATCATCTAAAATTATCAAGATTTAACGAAATTCTATTAATAAATATTTATGTATTACTGAGTATACGAATATTATTAATTAAGAAAACGAATTTGCACTTGTGTTTCTAGTCTTACCAGCATGAACTTATTGTAATATGTAATGAATTCCCCGACAATGTAATATCAATACACATGCCATGAAATATAGTAATCGACATTGGCCTAGAGTATAAAATTGTACACTGTGTGGAGTGCCAAGTTTTACGTTGCATGGTCATTCTATTCTATTAATATATTTACCACGTGTAGTTATACATCACAACGCGGTAAAAAGCATTCTACAAACGCAATTCCGTTTTCAGTCCATTGATCTCGTGGAAATAAAATGGGAATGTGTATTTACAGAGTTTTATTTACATTAAAATGTATACACTTTTTATAACGTCGAGTAAAATGCAAAAAAAAGAAAGAAAAAGGCAAATAGTACAATAAATGCTATTAAAAATTGAGCTCAACGAGAGAGAATGCAAACTGTGTTTTGGCCCATCAAATATTATGATTGGTCCACTCGTTAGCAGCAGTATCGTTTACAATCTCTCATAAATTGCACCACAGTTAACACGAATACATTAGTCGTATGTATTCTCATATCACAAAATTGATAAACCTTTCGGCATATAGATAACTATTTTTTATTGCACGTACTAAATACGTGTCACGTGTAATTTATTCGATGTATAGTTTTCTTAATTTTTGTAAAATAATTCTATTCAAAAACATTGACAACTTTCTTTTTATACATTATTCTTTTGCTCATTACATTTCGAAGTATTTATCTCATTGTAACATTTAATTAGAACCATATGAGATCGAAAGAGTTCATCGAGTTCAAAAGAATCAGAGCACTCGGATAAAATATACAGTATAAAAATCAAGTATGATTTTACATATCAATTACGATGTAACGATTTATTTTTCTTGAAATTTTAGACTTTTCCTGTCTTTATATTTAACATGCATAGCTTGCAAAATAAATGTATGCGTTGTTTAAACGAAACTGTGCCATAGATTGCTAGATGTACAATTTAAATACATAAATACGTTAAACATTCAACGCTAGCGTTCATTTTCTTTTAAATATAGATATTGTACATTTAAGGCACATAGTATAAAGTAATAGTAGAAAATATAATAGTATTGACTTCATAGTTCGATGAACAAACGAAAGTCAAAGATATGGAAGTTTTCCATAAAACATTAACAATATATACGTCGAATTTGTAACGCTAATTATAAAGTTTGAATAAATCTTAATATTTACTTTATTACTTGAATGCTAAATTAAATGATTTTATTTTTTTTTTTCTTTTTCTTTTTAATAGTGTGAATGTTACTTATTTTCATAAATATATATAAAAAATTTCATACTATTTAACAGAAATACAAATCGAATTATCTTCCATATCAATAACTTACAAATTTAGAACTTAAACATTTTTTTCTTTAGACAAAAACAAGATTGACATAAAGATATAAGATATTAAACTTTTTAGTTATAAAATTTTTAAATTTATTACGCAACTTAAGTACCTCGTTCATTTGCATTTATAATAAAATTCTTCTGACCATTAAAAATGATTCATTTTTTGGCTAATTTTTCCAATAAAACAAAATTAGTGATATTTACAAGGATACTGTATATAATACTAAAATATATTTTATATTGCAATAATACTTATGCATAAACAATATAGTGGTATATGTATGTATCGTATGTATTGAATTGAGATATAAAATATATAAAAAAGAGCATTTGTACAAAAAAGATAAGTAGAATCAAATTTACAAATTATGTTTATCAACTTGAGTCACTTGAAAATATTTCTCAAAAATACAAGTGCCTTGAAGTATGTAAATACTTTCAAAATCTGTTTAGAAACTATGTTATGTGAAAATTTATGGTAAAAAATGCAGTCAAAACTGGGAACTATGAGTTTCTTTGTGTGATTGTATAAATAAGAGATCTTATGATCTTTTGATAAATGCAAGTGGCAGTGGTGTTAGGATACTATTAAGAAATGTACATGTTTTTCATGTATAGTCTTGAGCATCAGTCAATTAAATTGTATAAAAATTCACATGAATTTTAATGCAATCATAATCATTAGTTTTGTTCATATTCTTATTTCTTTACTTGTCAAATACTTTACTCTGATGTAGTAGCCATATCTACCATCCATAAAATTCAATGCACTGGACTATAACTGAGAATCCTTACTATAAGAATTAAAAATTGGCTTACAAGAATATTTAATTAAAATAATTGTCGTTAATTATACCCACATAACGTGAAAGTACTAATAGACCCATATATATCAACTGTAACAAACTTTGTAAAATCGGTAGATATGCATACTTTAGTAAGAAAGTTCGAAGGTAACTCGACAACAGCTAATAATGCTGGTCGTTTGGGATCCTTACCCTCTTTGGATTTCCAAAACTTAATTTGCTTATCTATATCACTCTTGGTATTTTTACCTTCTAACAGATCTTGGAAACTGTAGATACACGAATCTATGCTCTGACTAGTAGACATATGAGTGGGAACATTTATTGTTTTATCGACAGAAGGTATACTAATGCTTCGATTCATTCCAATTCGTGATCTCCTTTTTGGCTTGTTCACATATAGAGCTAAAGCAATATTCCACCAAACTAGTTCATCAGAACTTACAGAAAGCAAAATTGGGACTTCGATTACAGATGGAGCCCAATATAGCTGGGTAATGGAACTTATATGAAAGCATAATTTACGTATCTCTTCTAGTACTGATGTATCAATAATCTGAAAATTAAAAATACTATAATGTTTAGCGGCACATTAATTACGTAACTAATGAAATAATTTATAATATTTTGATAAACTTACAGAAATATCTCCATTTTCAAAACCTATAGCTAAATATTTTTCATTTTGTGAAATTTCACAACATGTCAATTTATGGGTATATTTTTTTCTAAAATATTCTGTTATTTTAATACATGCTGGTACTGATATTGTATTTTTTTGTAATTTATATAAAACCACATCACCATTTTCATTTAACACAGTTAAGAAACTTCTTTGATAACTTAAGCAACTGAAAGTACTAACTGTCTCTGAACTCCCAACTGTTACTCTGTCCACCCGTAACCAATCTTTGCCATTGATATTCCAAACTGTTATTATACCATTTCGAGTTACTGTTACTACACATTTTTGATCTACCTTATGAATTGCAATGACATATCCAGCATCTTGTATTAAATATATTAGTTCTATATTTTCCCACACCTATAAAAAATAAAATATAAATTAAGATAAGGTGAGTTAGTTTTATAATCTCTCATATGAATATTTTTGTATTATACCCTTAAGTTATCGTCCGTCCCTCTACAAACGAGTATATCATTACTGACCACATCCGTTTTTAGATTTAAAATTTTCACTAATTCCACGTCAGATGGAAAATTTAATATACATATATTTTCTTTACTTTTTATATTAAATATATTGACAATGCCTTTATCAGTAACATAAATTATTTTCTCTGTGCTAAGAATTAAATTATTTATTTTTCCATCGATTGGTTCAGTTTCTGCGACTTTATCATCACCAACTAATGCAATGATAGTGTTTGAAAGCGTTTCTGTAATAATAGTATCAGGAGCACCACCAAAATTCTGCACTTCTGCATCAAACAATGGTTTTCTTATTAATGTACCAGTTCCTTCTACTGGAAGATTCCATTTATGAAGTAATCGGTTTTCACTACCACAAATAATGTGATATCCTTCTTCTTTTAACCAATACGTGTCCAAGGAAGAGACACGACTTTTATAAGTAGCTATTGGTTGAAGTCCAATATCAGCATTCCATATATTTATAAAACCACTAGAATCAGCCAAAACTATATACTGGCCATCATTAGTTAAACTGGCACAAACATAAACAGTTTTTTCATTTTCAACGATTGCTCTTATTTGCTTATTGTAACTATGCATATGGTTATTGCTTAATCTAAACCATTTGACATATATAGCTTTCTTTTCCGTAACAATGAATAAAGAATTATTCATATGCTCGGGCACACTGCGGAAAAAGATAATCTTTTTCTTCTGTAAATCTGGGTTGTACTGTGACATATATTGATATTCTTTGCCATATCTGCAATATGATATTAGAACACCGTGCATTTCATCCATAACATGGAGCAGTTTACTCCCCATTGTAACTGTTATATTTGTAAGCTTAGACTGGGGCTTATGATCATAATCTGATAATACATTTCCGTGACGATCCCAAATCCTTATTAACCCTTTGTTTGTACAGGCTGCAATAAAACTATTATCATGTGCAAATGTCATGTCCAATATAATTTCATCAGGAACTGAAAACACTACTGAACTATCATCATGTGGAATTTTACTTGTAAAAATTCCACTCCAAAAAGATTGTTTTTGTCTTGGACTTAATATTGCAATATTATTTTCTTCGTAATTTTCATCATCGAAAAGTCTAAAAAGTTTTACTACACCATGATCATCTAGTGACAAGAAACAATCTCCTTCATTAGATATTACAATCTTTTTTATACGAGAATTCCTGTCATGTCCACTAAAAACCTGTTGCCTTTTGTAAATGCTATCCCATAAAAATATTTCACCTGTTTCGTTTCCGATTAAAATTAGATTTGAATCACTTGTAAAGCATGATGTATGTATTTCTGTTGACATCTCTTCACTCCATGGTATATCCATCTGTCCTAATTTTTTGTCATGAAATACATACAAATATTTGGACCTTTCTTTTGCAAGTTCAATCGCAGTGTCTTTAACATATCCTTGATAAGGATGACTCATAGCAATTTGTACTATATCCAAACACTTTTTACGCCTATGTTCTGCTATAATACTTGAATGTTCTTCTAGAAATTTTTCCAAATCAGCAAAATGCTTTGCATATACTGGGTCATAATTTTTAGTAATATATTCTTTATAATTGTTTAAGTCAATCAATAAGTTATTTAAGCCACTGTGTACTATGGCTTCTTGAACGAAATCGAAATTTAAATATATGTTCGGGAATTCGTCATACAATTTTGCTTGCTCCAAGTGATATCCAATATACGAATAACTGTAATTATCTGCAGGTAATTTCGAGAAATCACCGTTACAGTATTTACGATATTTTTCAATCAAAGATTTATGCATTTCTATTAATTCATCTTTTGAAAATTTCTTTCGAAGATGGCAAAGTAATAAATCATGTACACCATAAATGTAACTGTGCAATTCATCATTCCATTGTTTAGCTGCAAGTGACTTATGGCATAAGTCAAGCATCATTTCTTCAACTTGAAATGGGCAACCTTCCCACAGAATTTCCAATGTCTATAAAATTAATATAAAATAGAGCAATAATGTATAAATTCAAATGTTTTTAGTCTATAGAAGTATTTAAATGATGCAAAAGTCATACTGCTTTACCTGCGGTGTTATGTTAACGTCTTCTCTAAAAATGACTAATTCTTCATAATGTTTTCTCATTTCAAGTGGTAACTGTTCTATACACATATTAAAAATTGCTTCTTGTTTTTCCCAAAATCTTTTAATTACACTGAAAAACGCATAGAACATTATTTGAAATATTATCAACATGAAATTATAGAAATGTATAGACTTTTATATGTTTGAATATTACCGATTATTTTCATCCTTATTTCTTAATGAATCTAAGTAATATTTCCATCTATCTGAACGTAATTTCATATCATGTTTAAATTCCTCAAATTGAGCAGAAAACATTGCAATTAATAAAGGCATTCCTTTACACTCCTCGTGGATTCGTTTTGCTTCTGGTGGAAGATCTTCTACTTTTGTATCCAACACCTTAGCAAAAAGACCTAAAGTTTCTGCTTCAGTAAATCCATCATTCATCTATAAACAAACAATCTTTAACTATGCTTGTTGAATATGAGAATGTTACACACACAGAAAGAAAAAATAATTCACCGGAACCACGCGAGGTCTTTTCTCCAATACAACATCAAGATTAGCTGTAATTACTAATGTTTTACATTCAAAGTCAAATTCTTCAATTATTTTACTATCACAAACATCATCCAAAATTAACAGAGCATGAGAATGTTTTTCTCTACTAAAGTAGATTTGTAAGAAATGGATTAATGAATCTTTTAAAGGTGCTGACTTTAACGAGTCTGATAGTATCTCCAAATTTCTAACAAGATGATATAATCTGTTAAGTTGAATTATTATTTCTTCCTCAACTGGACGCTTATATCCAAACTTGATCCAATATACTTCATTCTGTGCAAAATATAACGAATTATTTAAATTAATGATAAAAGATCTACTTACGTTCGTTTAATCATAAAAACTTACATAAAATACATTTCTTACAAATTTAATGTCCTTTAATGTACTAGCTGTTAAGCATGATTTACCAAAACCTTTCATACCATGGAGCACAATGTATTCATTTGGTTTTAACTTTTTCAAATAATCTTGTAACTGTTCCATCTAAAATCAAAAACCATTAGTCAGACTTTATGTAAGAATTATGTATAATTAATAAAAGTAGCATTATAAAATATGTGACAATTTTTATTTTTGTAACTTACACAGTTGGTTTCCATAAGCATGCATACAAAGTAGCAATATGACAATTATCAATAAAAATTGATAGTACATTATTTATATCAATGTAAAACATAATCATTCTTATATATTTTATTACAAATGAAAAATGTGGCAATAAAGAACATTCATTGTATAAAATATGTATATACACTTATTTTGAACAATTTATTAAATTAATAAAGCATAAGTTGAACTGTATACATTTGTACATCTTCAACATTTTAATAACATTCATATATTATACCTTTTGTTCTCTTACAACTGTCAATGGTGCAATTGGTGGAAGGGTAGGTGTACCCACATACTTTATATCGCTAAAAGACTTTCCACTTTCTTCAAGTTTGTCCATATCTTCGCTTAACCATTCATAGTGATGTCTTAAAGCTTGTCGAAAAGTATCAAATGCAGATGGACCACGACTAAAAAATGCAAAATGATAATTATATTTGCACTATTTAAATGAAACAGTTGCCAAACAAAATGAAATTTTAATAATATTCCTTTATAAAAACGTAAAATCAATTTCACGTATAATTTATACCTTGGAAGTATATCTAATAAAATTTCAGCTTTTTCTTGTTTGGAAATACCATGTTCAATCTCTATTATATGTTGATCTGTTAATATGTATTCCGATTGCAGTGGCTTTATAATACCATTATGTACATCCAAATCAGCCACTATACTCTTCCGTAACATTTTAAGAATATGTTGATGTAATTTATCCATCTTTATACTCTTGATGTACCTCCTGCCACATTACACGTGTTTCTTTATAACTAAATTATCTACAAAAACAAAAGGAAATAAAATATTCTAATATTAAAATTTATAATTATAATATAAATAATTCAATTATAATATAAATAATAAATTCATTT